AGTATCTTAGCTGTGAGAGAGACGCAAACGCTTTCTCTTCAATTATAATTATTTTGTTGTGATCAAGATACCTGGAGGAAGGGAAAGAAATACATGAACATGAAATTATCAGCTATTTATTTATGTTGTGTGTCTTTTCTGCAAAGCAAAAAGCAGCAGTCATAATAGGTTTATGAAAAAGCTTGTGGTTAGTTATTGCGGCAAGGGCACTCAATAAAGTAAAATTGTTAGTCTTACGATTAATTTACTTCAAAAATGAATCACAACATGTCGGCTGCATACTACATATCACGTTTTTTTTTCTAGACGAAAAGGCTGGCAGTGTGCAATCGAAACGTTGTGATCCACATCACATGGCAAACGTCTAAAAATTCACCACATAACTCTTATACATATTGCATTTGGCAAGAAAGGATCTGTTCACAAAATAAAATTTCTTTACTAAAAGAGAATATTGAAAAGTTCTTACTGATTTCGAAATTATAAATGATGGCGCTTGACACCCGCTGCTGTGCACCGGGCTCGATAAACCAATCTGGTTTTACATGGAGGTTTCTCCCTGCAGGCAGAGCTCACTTGTCTCCATCATTGGAGACGTCTACACGCAGGCTAGCGCGCAGGCTAGTTTTTGGTTCCTGCCCTAGCCCCTAAGACTTTTTTCCAGGTTCTACGGTTCTCCGCCCTTCAAATTCCAAACGACCAGGAATCAGCTAAACTCCAAGTTTCCTTCTTTTAGCAATGTCAATTCCTCTTGTAACTAAACATTTAGTAAATACCAAAACTTGGAGAATACTTACATGATATACAATATGCAAACTTTATTCAAGATGTAGCTAACTAAATCTGTACAGGTAAATAGGAAAAAAGTTGAGAGAGAAAGTCGAGAGGATCGCTCTACTTACAAATGAGTTAGGCGTGTTGTGCGTTTAAACACATCCCTCTTAATCTGACGAATACTGTTAGATCGCAGGCTTCTAAAAAATAAAATGAAAATAAGGCAAAAAGAAATTTTCCCAAAGAGGAAAAAAGAGATTAATTTCATTTTAACCAGAAACATTTTTCACACCACTCACAAGATTCGCAAGTCTGTCAAATTGTCGAAAATGTCTTCATGAAGGTCAACAAGAAGGTTTTCACCAATATCTCTGCGAAACACAAAAAGAGCCGCTTTTTTAATTTTAATCTTACGGTGCACTCTCTTCAATAGGCCAGAGTTTAGGTATTTCTGCCGAAGATGTATTTGATTAACTGACCATTAAAAATTGTATCCCACATTGAGAGCGAATCACCATTAGTCAGTTTATGCTTGTGTTAGTATGTAAATCAATCGATAGAGTTGCCTGAGTATTTTGTCTTGTATAACACTTCTTATCATTATTTTCCATTCCCATGATTAAGCTATGTTTCAGCATTGTAACATTATAAACTTACAAGTATTGAAGCTTAGTTGTTTCACCAAAAACGTCATCGTTAAGTTGCCTCAAGAAATTATTGTTGAGTCTCCTATGTTATGATGCAGGCAAAAGAAAAAGTTATTCATGTTCGTTTGGGCTTAACCAGAGAATTGTTTTACAAAAAAATTATGTCCTCTACGTTTCAAAAGATTAGCTTTTGTCTGTAAACCTTCCATGTACCATTCCATTGAAAAGGGTTCTGTATAAGAGCCGTGCCGGGGGGTTTTTCTAGTGTACTTCGGCTGTGGTATATTTATGTGGTAGGAATGATTTACATTCCAAAAAAATTTATCACAAACGTATTAAACGCACGGGCATAAGTCCACTAAATGTAAAATTTAACGATTGCCTACTCCCTAAATGTTGACTCTTCTGGTAGGAAGTAGGAAGGATGGGGAGCCTAGATTACAACTACACCGAACAAGTCCGAACGAAAAAACTCACGTGACATTAGCAAATCACCGGGGTCCCAGTATCCATTGCTGACACTACATTCTAGGTAAATGGAACTGTGCATTACTAACAATTTTTTTTTCCGTCGCTTATACATGTTTTCCGAGTAGTAAGTTATATTTCGGAGTTTGATCTTCAGTCTTGGCCACCAATTTGGATGAGCTTCGAAGAGCTGACATGACAGGACTATACTACTCTTCACGGTCAAGCATTTCCACAAGTTATGATTATAGAATTAGTTCTGAGCAACTTACAACGTTTCCAGAGATGTTAAACCTTCAAATACACTAGATTCCATTTGAAAAACTTTGTTGTGGCTTAAATCTCTGAAACAAAAGAGAGAGATTGCTGAATTTGCACATCATTGATGCGTACTTTACATCCCTTTATATCCTTTCATCCAATGTTATACTTCATATTTGTTATAATTAAGAGTGATTCGGTTGCACTTTTTAATGAGGACACTTTGTGATGCCTATCATACAAAGATGAATCTTTTCGATGGCTGTTAAAACTTTAAAACACTTAAAGCAAAGTCTTCCGACTTACATGTAGATAAGAGATGACAGAGAGTAAAAGTCTTCGTTCCTTAGGCGAGTGATTTTGCAGCCAGCAAATAAACTGGAAGAGCGTAAGAAATATATATCACCTCAGTATATTCATGGTTTAATGGGTGGGTGCAGTTAGGAAGAACGTTGGAAAGAAATATTCCGGGTCGACCAATCATTTTTCGTACAAAACTTCTCTGGGAAACGCCCTGTCAATAACTTACCAAAAGCAGTGTATCACACTTACAGTTTAAACGATCTTTCTAAGTAATCAAAAAATCAAAAAATCAATAAATAAACGAAATAAAATAAAATAAAATAAAAATAAAACAACCAGCGGTCCGGCCTTGCTATTGTTTATACAGGCCCCATCTAAACCAGCTTTAAAAAATTAACAGGGCAGTTTCACTTTTGCCTAAAATGGTCTCAACTCATAACGCATTATTGTGACCTTGCTAACAATGCTAGCAATGGAAACCGACTATGGCTAATTGGCATATGCCTCTAATCTTCATTTTTGTTCAAGGGTATTCTTGCGTCGCTAGGTAGGTTATATTCCTGGAAGAGTATCTTGCAGAGGTGAATAAGTGTGATTTTTTTATGCAGACGAAACGCGAATGCATGTAAAATCATCTTTGTCTCAATTTAGTGTTTAGTAAAGCTGAGCCATTTGCATCAATCGTATCATTTCGCTGAATATATGTAGGCAGATTTTGTGGTACTCATCGGGTGTAGGACTTTACAAGATCCTCTCT